CTCCCCCGCTGCGTCTTGCGCCTTGGTTGGTGCCTGCTGCGTGGGTGGCTGGAAAGCTTGCCATACCACTGCCTTTGCCTGCGGTAGTGTTTGCTGCCAATGCGATTACGAATATGCTGCCCCATGCGCGCTGGGGACGAAAGTGGTATGTTGAGAAGTTCGGTGAGAAGGCTGTTGCAGGGAGGGGGCTGTTCTCCCTGGGTGTACGTGGATGTGAAATTGAGGGAGCTTCGGATGACCTCCTTATTTTACTTTCAAGCTTTTCTTATGACTGGCTTCCAACTTCATCAAATTTAATTATCAGCATGAGCTGATGTATTTGTGATTTTGTGGAATTGAGACACTGCTGTGTATTGGTGGCATACTTCAAATCGAGTCCAGCTGTGACTGAACTTTAGGATCTTACCTTTCTTGGAGTGGACGCTACGCTGCCCTGGGGTAGAGCTTTATTATACATCCGCAGAGCCCATGAATGGGCCCCGGCCCCGGGCCCAAAGCCCAGCCCAATCTAACCCACAGCTCATTGGTGGCCCATAAGACCCCCACTATAGCCCAATTAGGGGTTCAACTAGGATCTTTATTTGAAGTAAGATTTGTGTAAGATTTGTGAATAGGCAACAGACACTTTAATTTGCCAGCGATACACATTATTTTCCCACGGACTCCTTGGATATTAATATATATAGTCCCGTCCCCCAGATATAACTCCCAATTAATACAAAGTCAAACCCGATCATCTGCATTGACGCGCAAGCCACTTAACGATCCCATCCTGCCCAATTTGGGTATAGAAGGAGGGCTGGGCGTTATCTCAGGAGGATTCTGCTCACGCGAAACCATTACTTCCGTTGTGCAAACGATTGCATCACCCTCGGCAGGTAATATCCGCTCCTCGCTGGAATTGCTTCGTTGACTTCCAGAGTACTTCGTCGAGCCTGTTGTAGAACCAATCCGGGAGTGTTGCGTCTTCGGGTCCGCGTCGAACTCGATGATACTGAGATTGCCACTTTTGTGTGCTCGGGATTGCAGCGGCGGCCCTCGTGATCGAGACATTGACTGCATTTTATATTTCTTGCTGCCGAAGTACTCGCGGGTGGTTTTCGTATGCGAGCCGTATGTGCCGAGGACTCTCTTGAAGAGTGGTTTGAGGGTTGGGAGGCTGCCGGCCATGATACCGGTGTTGCATTCCGTGCTGCCATTGGTTAGTACTGGGTTTGAAGGATGATCTCCGATGCTTGTGATAGCCATTAAAAAACTTACACAACCCAGATTGTGAGGTTTGTATAGTCCCAAAGGAAGTCACCAGTTCGACCGTAGCTAGGTAGGATAGAGAGCTTGACGAAAGCGGCTGCACAGGCACTGAAGAAAGTAGAAGAATTAGCATGGCTTTGATAGCATTGGATTGAAAGAGACCCACAAAATTCCCAGGCCCAGGATACAGATCAGAGAGGCTTTCACCCGGCGATTGACTTGAAGATGACTGTTGATAACTGTATTAGCGTTTCGTTCGAAAAGGCGATGCCCATGAAACATACCGTAGCATAAAGACCGGTAGAACGGCGAAGATCAGATCGGTCAGAATATTCAGTGCTATCCACGTTAGAAGTCGTTTAGCTATACCCATGTAGTGCTAATCTCACCAGTGTTTGTATAACTCAGAGTCAAAAGTTGTTTGGGAGTAAAGCACTTCGATTTGACTGTAGGATCCCAATTTGCTCGAATATCCTGACATTCAAAAATAAGAGTCTGCAATAAACCAAGCTGTTAACTGCTGTTCGCGATCGAATGTGAGAGATACGTTGCGCACCAAAAAACAAATTGCAGTGTAGAGCGTCATGAGAACTAAAATGAGTCAGGTTTGTCAATACTGAGTCACAGAGAAGAAGAGATCAAAGCCTTTACACACCCAAGACAACCCAGATAAAGATCCTGTACCCTCTGCGGGGTGCGAAACGAAGCAAAAACAGCCCAATTGATATCTTGACCAAGCCGATGGCCCACATGTAGATCCCCTGAGTAGCATAATTCAAATGCATCGCCGTGACGGCCGTTTCTTGGACAAAAACCATATGTCTGCCTGCACCATACTTCACTTCGGGGACGATAATGGCAAATCCACAGACAGACAGCAGCATCGTCAGAGCCATAGTATAATCATCCCAGCCGACATTGCGAATCAGGAATACGCGCACGTAGAACCGAGCCAAAACGGTGAGTAATGCGGCGGCAGTAGTGATAGCGGTGGCTATGATAATCCTAGACCCTTGATTAACATCCTGTAGGCTAGCACCTTCGGTACCAGCACTGTCCGACATGGCTGTCGTTGAGTTAAGGAGGGCTAGGCATTGGAAGGAAGAATTGGACAGGGATTATATCAGGGCAAATTTGCAAGGGTCATTAAAAGAGTTAGCAGACATAATTTTAACATTATATTCAGCTCTACTCCATACTGTTGTGGCTCTCCGAAGCCAAGGAATGCGAGTGGCGTGAGTCTCGAATGGGGCTTTCAATCTGCTGTACTCAACGCCACAGAATAATTCCCTGATTTTGTCTTCATTCTCATGTTCGGGTCAATAATCCCCTTTCGGCCGTTCATAAAGTACAATAGGCATAAAAATAAAACACAAAGCCATTGTTGGCATCCAAGCTAGCTCTAACGGCGTAAGCAAAGTGCTTTATCCCACTAAAAGATATTTCGGAAAACGCCTCGGACCCGACAACGAGGATAGCAGTTGGTCATTAGAAACATGGCCAATGAGCAGGCTTGGCACCATCGGTAAGAAAAGCACCTGGAGCAAATGGAACCTCGGATATAACGGAAGGTCTCATCGAAGGTGGATTGCAGTCTATCTGAGTTTGCATAGTTAGGGCACCGGGGTGTCATTCCGAGATTGGGTTTTGACCGAAGCCCATTTATGCAGATGTGATTGGATCAGTCGCTTAGATGAAGTTGCCAAGTCGCTAAGGAGCAAGGGTACCCCAAAGTGGCTGTCTCGATGGTAGGAACGTGGCTTCAGATGTATGATTTGGTCCTGGTTCTTTTCTGTCAATGAGTACGGAGTAACTTTGGGATGATCTCCAGGGTATCAAAGGGTCGGTCCGTGAGTGATCCAGCGATTCGAGTGGGAAGACCCTTGGAAATGGACATTGTGTGGTCTCGTAAATTGCCGGCATCTCCCGGCGGTGGGGAAAAGCGGAATATGGCCCGATGCCCTAGATGGTCCCAGAACATCCATGCAGAAAAAACATAGACTATGCATTAGTTCGACTCCAACCGAGATAGGGATGGTTGGCATATGCACCCAGCCTTTAAATCAACCATCATGCCCGGATTCTCTTCTGATCAACACTTCTAAACTTTTGGTGTGGAACTTCCTGGTTTTCTAGAAGTTCAAATATATAACTCGCCACCATGGTTGCCATTTCTGTTCTCACTCTGGGAGCATTGTTCGCACAGGCGCTGGCTATGCCTGCTGCCACGGAGAGTGCCGCTGTGAGCGCTACGACCCCCACCGCTGCGTCCACCTCCCTGCCGGTCGCTGAGTCCCAGCTTGACGACTTGGCCGGGTTGGCATACGATGCCAGTATCGAGAGTGTCAAGAGTGACGCCGATATTGAGAAGCGCGGCGGCTGTTCGTTGAGCAGCTTGCGTGTTCGTCGTGATTGGAGGACTTTCTCTAAGACCCAGAAGACCTCCTACATCAATTCCATCCTGTGCCTGCAGAAGTTGCCCTCGCTCACTCCCTCCGAGCTGGCTCCTGGTGCACGGTCCCGTTACGATGACTTCGTCGCTACTCACATCAACCAGACTACCACCATCCACTACACTGGAACCTTCCTGGCGTGGCACCGGTACTATATCTGGAACTTCGAGGAAGCCATGCGCAATGAGTGTGGCTACACCGGCGATTACCCGTGAGTCTAGTGATCCTGCGATCTCCCAAAAAATACCAAACGTCTAACCCCATCACAGCTACTGGAACTGGGGCGCCGACGCCGCTGATCTGGAGAAATCCCAGGTCTTCGACGGCAGCGATACCTCGATGTCCGGCAATGGTGCTCACGTCGAATCCGTCGGCGACATCCAGCTGAGCCTGGGTACCTACCCTGTCATTCACCTCCCCACCGGCAACGGAGGCGGCTGCGTCACCAGCGGCCCCTTCAAGGATTACTCTGTCAACCTGGGCCCGGTCGCACTGATGCTGCCCGGAGGAGAAACCGGGAGCACCGCCAACCCGCTCGCATACAACCCCCGCTGCCTGAAGCGCGATCTGAGCACCAAGATCGTCAAGGACTACGCTAACTTCACCGCTATCGTGGACCTGATCCTGCGCCATGACGACATCTATGACTTCCAGATGAACATGCAGGGTGTTCCCGGCAGCGGCAACATCGGTGTCCACGGTGGTGGTCACTACTCCATGGGTGGTGATCCTTCCCGCGATGTCTTTGTTAGCCCCGGTGACCCAGCTTTCTGGCTCCACCACGGTATGATTGATCGCACTTGGTGGATCTGGCAGAACCTGAACCTACACAAGCGTCTGAATGCTATTTCGGGCACTGGTACATTCTTGAACGGCCCTCCTTCACCTAACACTACTCTTGACACGCTCATTGAACTCGGTTATGCGGGCGGCGAGACTGTTGCTATGCGGGATCTCATGAGCACCATTTCCGGTCCTTTCTGCTACATCTACCTGTAAACGGTGATGATTGTTATTGTATGTACATAGCCAGATCTCTTGAGCATGGACTGGAAGTTTCAACGATGAAGAAATGAAGGGAGTGGGAGGAGTCATGTCAGTATATAGGGGATGAACTCGTATATAATCTATGATATAGACCCTGAAAAGTGGCCTAAAAGATCTACGATGACACGAATCTTACATCTGTACTCTCATCTAGATTATGTCAGTATGATCAGTATTTCGTCCCAGTAAGAGCGATATAGCAAATCTATAGCAATCTAAGTTCTATAGCCAAAAGATCCTTGGAATTCATTACATCCTCCAGCGCCAGAGCATCATAATCGGGACCCATAACCAAGTCATGTGAAGCAAAGAGCCCTGCGCATAGGTATTGTGCTTCCCAACACCATTAGCAACAGCAAGGTAAGTATCCTGGCCAAATGTTGCGTTCAGCGTCACATGAGCCTGAGCCGACCCATCTTCCAATCTAATCCACGTCTCAGTATTGTTTGCCAGATTGCCCTCGTGCAGTAATATTTGCCGTCCACCGCGGACCAGATTACCGTAGCCGCCATATCCTGTATGCCGACCATAGCACATATTGATACCATTACCGGTTAGATCGTGGTCCACAAGAGAGCCGTCCCATTTAAAACACCTGCGATTTTTGATTAGCTGAGCCTTTCAAGTCCCGAATTTCATCTGCTAGAGGGGCATACCAATCATTTTGGTGGTCATGGCCGCTAAATCCTGCGATTAAGCCCTCTGTGTGAAGGAGCGCGTTCATAAACTTGACGTCTTGGTTATCATAGCTCCATTGGCCAGTTCCTTGCGGATTAACCCGCTCGCGATTCACGCCGGGCGTCAGACGTGGATTTACGCCTTTTTTTGTTGATATGCAAGCATTGCGTGGGCCGGTATGTGGTAGAATGCTAGCGAAGGGATGACTTTCCCATACTTCTTTTTCAGTTTATGATTGGTTTCACTGAACCAATCAACGACCTTGAATGCAGTCAGTCAGTCATTTTCCCTGTGAGAATGTAGTGTGACCAGAAATTCCTCCTACCGATTCATCAATCCAACTGGGTCTCTTAACAGGAGGCCCGTCTTCCCCTTCCTTTTTTATAATAATGCCCACCCTTCGAATCAAAGAACCACAGTAGTAGCGCGGGTGTGCTGGTATTCGCTTGTCCATGTGAAAAGACAGGCAGATAATAATTCGTTATCCCAGCCTTGTGGCCGGATATGCTACTCTGTGTCAAGCTGTTGGGGTATTTATTCTCTGCCTTGAGCATGTCATCTTTCGGATTAAGGTTAATCGCGCTGTCATGGTTGCCGTAGGTCGATGCCCATCTGTAGCCCTGATCGACAAGTGGGGAAACGACCGAATCGATGTATTTGCTCGAGTCGGCTTTTTGGGTTCTTTCGCCGGATACCAGGTCGCCGTTTATGACTACGAAGTCAATGTCCTCCTCTGAGAGAATATACGACATCACTTTTTTGGACTTCTCATCTTTTTCGTCGTCTATCCAGGGGTTAGTACAAACGCCTGCCTTGAGATTATCAACGCATACCTTCGGCGAAATGCAAGTCCTCAAAGACTTCAATGTGAAATGTTCCATCTTCTCGGAATCGCAGAGTTCGATCCTTGGGTGGTTTGAGGACATCTTGATCCAATGCTTTGAGTTCTGGTCGGGGTGCCATTTTGGAATGACTGACAAGTGAAGATTTGGGGGGCGGACTAGACCCTTGTAATGTTGTGATTCACGTGCTAAATCCTTCGTCTCACAGCTTATCACATCAGAAGCTTTTGCCAAGACATTCTATATAACATCGGCTATTTTGCTCGATTCCACACGTTTCTAACTCGTATCTGCTCAACTTGACAGTTTCAATTTTGGTTTCATTGTATTGCAATTATACCCTCTTCCAAATCGTACTCTATAGCAATACACGATGTGACAATGCACAATGCAGCACGAGTCAGCTTGACTACGATTTCTTCCAGGATTACGTAACACGGCACAGGGTCCACAGGGAAGCTTGGACTAAAAATGTACGGAGTATGTACTCCGTACATGGGGAATGATAGCGCAGTTCGAGGCGAATGAAAGGAATGGAAAAAAGGACTGGAAAAAAGACTGAAGTTCAATATGGTATCCCCTGCAAACAATTCAACGCCCTCGCTGACCGAAAACAACAAACAAACAGTTAAATCCCAACCTAGAATGTATCCCCGGTCGGCGAGCTAAGATACAACTCTGCAAGATGCTTGAACCCAAGAGAGGTTTCCTCGGGAAATTTGTAGAGTTGAGTAGTACGCAGGGCGAGGGCTCGGCCGTTGAAATATGACTCAAAAGCGCGGGCACGCTTGCCCATAAATGAGACCAGAAAGACCTACAGAGTACTTGGTAAGCAACTATGAGAAATACGAACAAATGTTGTCGAAGAGAGAATTACCGGCGCTTTCCTATGCTTCAGGAAGCGTACCTTCCTCAACTGACCCAGCATCAGGCGGAGAATAGTCAAGAGCTCCCCACGAAGGGTTGTATCGTCCGTAGCATCTGGATTGTTGTACATAAATGCCTTGGTGCGCGGGAAAGCTTTTCCTCGAATATCCGTCATTCCAAAAGGCCCAAATTCTGGCTCGTCATCCTGAAACAAATCTTTGGGAGTGTAATCGTCATTGCTATCCCACAATATTAGCCATCAAAGTCTACCGAGACTGGTAGTGGGATTCTCACTCTTTCGGGGTCCATGGAGCATGTATCCTGTAGGGAACATAGGACGACTAGGGACCTGCAACTTGACGTGCCCTATCGACAGGGTCTGTAAAACAGGTGTCCTCGAATTTTGAAAGTAAGCCGACACCATCAACAGTGCTATCACTGGGTCCCAAAATGCTAGGATATGGCGCGAAGAAAGAAGGCTGGGTTGAATCTTCTCTGTTAAGGATCATGCGCTGGTGATCAATACCAAATCCCTTGAGTTTAGCCAGGTCAAATTCGTGTATCTTGTGCTCTTCGGACTCATCAACAACAAGCTCCAGCTCTAATAAGAACTTGCGATCCTTGTAATGTTCGCATGGTTTAGCTGATTCAGTAGGCATGCTGTGTGTTTGATGTTTGTGACACTTGGATAAGGCGAAGGATAGTATGGATGGAAAGAAGTTAGAAGGAGTTGATATATTTAAGTAGAGTACCGTAAGTGTCTTCTATTTTCTCTAATGGTGTTCGCACCAAGTAACCATATATAACCTAATATATATGGAAGAAACTGTTGCCTGGCGACACGCCAAGAACGTCAGTGGCGGCTATCATTATTCTAAGCATCTAAATAACCCTAATAAGCCCTAATTCTGGAGATCCCTCTCTGTAATGTTGGCCTGTTCGCGTTGCTTTTGATGAACTATACATATAACATAAACACCAGCTGCAACTCCCTCGGGATTTGATACAGCCTCACTTTGATATACCCTAAGAGCTACTAACTTTGGTTATCCATCTCGCTACCGCTAATAGTGTATAGTGCCCTTTGGACTCCAACACCTAGGTACTACACTAGTAAGGGCTTCTAGTATCAAATATAGGTCGTGTAATATAAACCCCTAACGGAGGTTACTCTTTATATACGGAATAAATAGGGTCTTTCCCGTTGAGGCCTAATAGGGAGCTTAACCGTTTAACCACTCCGCGGAACACGGAGAAGGCTTTCATTTTGGTTTCTATAGCTAGATATATACTATAAAACCTAAGTTAGGTGGTTCACTTAACGCGTAGGTCACCTACGGTGGTAATCTAACTGTTTAAGTGATCCTTAGGCTAGGAATGATCTCTACTTATGGCCTTTTTGATAGGGTATAAATGGCGGGGGCGCTTTTATCCTTATATAACTATGTGGTATAGCCCTATATAAGGATATAAGAAGGGTTCCTCGGAGGGAGTTTATATATATATGGTTATTATAGGGACGCTTGTCCGAGTTCGCTCCTTGATCCCGAAGGATTTCAAGAAGAGTATCATTTTTCAAATATTGATGGACCAAGAGCTGGCTTATAAACGTCCGTGGGCTAGGGTCGATTCTTTTGGCAACCAGCTGAAAAGCTGATGCTGATAACAAAGCAGTAGAGCTAGATCGATGGGACTATCTATACTAAATGTATTGTCCCTATTCATCTGATATGTTGTGCTTGCATCTGTGCATACATGTCTACCTAGCGATGCGTCACTGCCTTGGATTCATAGTACCATTGCCATGTAGCCGGGTTTCTACTAGAATATCCCAGCAGAAGAGAAACAAGCTAAGGTTTAGTTCATAGAAGTAGATTGTGTAATTCAAGTAGTAACCTGGAATTTGCATAGGAGCGAGCCAAATGTAAGTACACTGCAAAATAGGGTAAAGACGGCGGTCATCTGACGGACTATGGCACACTACGCAGGCAACCATGGCCACCAAGCGAGCTGGTCCTTGCCGACCAGGCGAGATCCCACAGGCAAAACAAAATGCGGATCCTCATATTCTGGGAAACAGAAATTGCCAGGTTCGACTACCAAATATCGATTAAGCAATGCCGGATCATGAGGAAGAAAAACTGTTACGGATTGGATCGCCAATGGGCGCCAGAAGACACCGACGGTGGATGTCCCTGGTCCCTGGGCGGGAAGAACCATGCCAAAGATCTCAGACCATCCCCGAAGAAGCTGATACCAACCAGGCGGAGGTTTCTGACGACAACAGGTCCAGCTTGTCTTTATCCTGGACCATCATGTGTTAGTTACTTGTCATCGGAGCAAGAGAAAACTTGTACCTGGCCTACATCTTTGTAGCTAGACGTTAACTCAACTCTCCCACTGAGCGGAGGTTGCTCCAGTGGTTCAAAGACCTTTCTCTATCTTTGTGACATTCAAGGTACTTGTTTTTTAGCTGTCTAGATGGCTTCACGATATGCAGTTTTTTAATTATCGAAACTGTACCATTGACCATTTCCCCTTTTCTCTCTCGTACATACTTACGCTCGTCAGCAACTTGCGCACTTCTAGTAATCTCACTAACTTACCTAGGTAACTCCAGTCTAACTACTAAGATACATATCCGGTAACATTGCTATTATTATTGAACCGTTTGTATTTCATACTATATTGACTATGAAGAGGTTCAGGAGATAGGCCATTGTGACATTGTCTGAGCACCGTAGACAACTCGGGATATGCAGAAGGCTTGCCAGATTCGCGATTGTTCTGGACTCATGATGCTGGTCACATTTGCAAGTACGCTGCTGCCGTCGATCGAATTGGTTCCAGAGACATGGCCATACTAATGTGCTTCGAGGAACCCGGAACCCGGGAGAAAGTGTTTTGAGGTCTGTGATGAGTGATGAGTATGCTGAGCTCTTTTTTACCGCAGTCCGTCCGCCATACAACAACTTATTTCCTATCTCTAGGTGCGAGGAATGTTGTAGGCTACGATAACATAGCAGAGACCATCCAGGCGGTTCCCTCCCCTAATATACAGTAATAGATAGGTTCATCGCCTTGAACTATCTTGTTTACTATATTTGACGGAAGTACTAATTCATGAGCTTTTACAAGAAGCAGGATTATTTTTTAAGTTATAATATTGACAACTGATTCTACATGATAATAGAAACAGTAGATCAAATTCGACAATGCGAATCTGATCAAGCAAGGTTGTAGAGCTTGCTGTATGTGGAAAAAACCACACAATGTTGAAATGGTAAAACTAGCATCAACCGGATATCACAACGAAAGTAGGTCATGATATCGGCCAGCACCAGCTTAAAATCGTCAGTCATGTTGAAACTCCAGGCCCGCTTTTGGTATCCTCTAGAAAACCCGTTGAAACCCATATGTTGAACTTTTGGTATCATCGTCGTAACTCATCAGAAAAGAAAACTCCCCAGTCCCGAGGTGACAGGTTGATTGCCACCTCCTCATTAAATTAATGGTAAATTAAATAATTTACTTAGTGTACTTCTGGCGGAAGTACTTGGCAGCGTTGACCATCTATTCGTGTTTCATCAGCATTTTGAACGTCATTTTCAAGGAAATTGCCACTTCTTACCGCAGTCAGAGCAGCCTTGGTCTCGGGCCAGCCACGAGTCTTGAGTCCACTGTAAAAAAGAAGCATGTTAGCACCAATTGCAAAAGAATAATAGATTTCGTGGCAGGGCACAAACCAATCGGGGTTGCACCACAACTGTTCGGGAGTCAGGTATGCCAGCATCTCTTCGATGCGATCCTTGATCTCCTGCTCAGTGGGGACACGAGGGGAGTGGATGTCGTAAACACCGGGGCCAATGTGGCGGGGGTAAGCCTCGTCGATGAAGACCTTGAGGAGCTTAGCATCGGACTTGCTGTTCTCAATGGACAGAACATCGGCATCAAGAGCGGCGATGGCATGGAAGAAGTCCTGGAACTCAGAGTAACAGAAGTGGGAGTGGATTTGAGTGCCATCGGTGACACCAGCGGTGGACAGCTTGAAGGAGTCAACAGCCCACTTGAGGTAGGCATCACGAGCCTCACCAGTGCGGAGGGGAAGACCCTCACGGAGAGCAGGCTCGTCGACCTGGATCACGGCAATGCCAGCGGCCTCGAGATCAACAACTTCGTCGCGGAGAGCAAGAGCAAGCTGCTGAGCCTGGACGGACTGGTGAACATCGTCACGGGGGAAAGACCACCGGAGACAAGTGATGGGACCAGTGAGCATGCCCTTCATGGGCTTGGGGGAGATGGAGGCAGCGTACTTGGACTCCTTGACGGTCATGGGAGCGGGACGAGAGATATCACCGACAATGATGGGAGGGCGCACACAGCGGGAGCCGTAAGACTGAACCCAGGCGTGGGTGGTGAAGACGTAACCAGTGAGGCGCTCACCGAAGTACTGCACCATGTCGTTACGCTCGGGCTCACCGTGGACGAAGACATCGAGGTCGAGCTCCTCCTGGATCTTGACGACCTCTTGGATCTCCTTCTCAATGAACTTCTCGTACTCCTGAGGAGTAATCTCGCCCTTGGTGAACTTGTTACGCTGGATGCGGATCTCCTTGGTCTGGGGGAAGGAACCAATGGTGGTGGTGGGGAAGAGAGGGAGCTTGAGAGTCTTGGTCTGCTCGGCGTAACGCTCGGGGAAGGCAGACTTGCGGTTGTGCATCTCAGGGGTGACAGCGGCCTGGCGGGCCTTGACGGCGGGGTCGTTGGTGCGGGCAGAGGAGGCACGGGCCTGAACAGACTTGGCGTTTGCCTCGAGCTGCTCACGGACAGCGGCGGGGCCCTCGGTGACAGCCTTGGCGATCACGACAACCTCAGCGGCCTTCTCAACAGCGAAGGAGAACCAGTCCTGAACCTCAGGATCAAGGGTCTTCTCGCTGGCGAGAGTGTGGGGAACATGGAGGAGGGAGCTGGATGTGGCAACAATGACACGGTCCTTGCCGAGCTTCTGGATGGCGTTCTCGACCTTCTCGATGGCGGCCTTGAAGTTGGTCTTCCAGATGTTACGGCCATCGACAACACCGGCGGAGAGGACCTGCTTGGGGCCAAGAGCAGCGACGACGGTGTCAAGCTGCTCTGGGTTGCGGACCAGGTCGATGTGAATGGAGTGGAGGTTCTGGAGGTCGGCAAGGACACCGATGTTGTGGACGACGTCACCGAAGTAGGTGGCCAGAGTGATGCGGGGACCCTCGGCACCAAGGGCACCAAGCTTCTCGTAAGCGGGCTTGAAGGCAGCCTTGGACTTCTCGGCAAGATCGAAGACAAGGACGGGCTCGTCAATCTGGACGTCCTCGGCACCGGCGGCCTTGAGCTTGGACAGAAGCTCAACGTAAAGAGGAAGGAGCTTCTCAAGCAAAGTGATGGGATCCACGGTCTGGTCACGGTCGGCCTTGGCGAGGGTCAAGAAGGAGACGGGGCCAAGAATGACGGGGCGGGTGATGATGCCAGCGGCCTTGGCCTCGAGGAACTCGGCGACGGGCTTGGGCTCAGCAGCGAGCTTGAACTGCTGGTTGTCCTGGAGAGTAGGCTTCACGTAGTGGTAGTTAGAGTCGAACCACTTGACCATTTCCTGTTGATCGAGTCAGCATACTGAAGTGGGATAGGTGGATTGTAATGATCTGCACATACCAAACTGGGGACATCAATGCCCTCCTTCTGCAGACCACGGCCCATAGCGAAGTACTCATCGAGAGCGTGGAGGTTGTACTTAGAGTAACGCTCGGGGATGGTTCCGAAGAGCTGGTGGTGATCGAGGACCTGATCGTAGAAGGCGAAGTCGTTGCTGGGAATGACATCGACACCGGCATCCTTCTGGATCTTCCAGTGCTCCAGACGAAGACGCTTGCCCTCAGCGAGAAGGTCATCGCGGGAGATCTTGTCAGCCCAGTAAGCCTCGGTGGCCTTCTTGAGGTCACGGAGTCTTCCCATGCGGGGGAAACCCAGAATAGATCTGTCCAAATAATCAGCAACTAGTTCAGTAATCATTGATAGTCGAGCCCACGTACGATTGAACCATTCTGACGGTATGTGAAAAGGGAAAAAGAAAGAAGAAGTCTCAAGGATAGAATTTTCACAAATCCGATGCCTTTGAGAAAGTGAGAGAAGAGAAGGGGAAAAGGTCCGGGAAACGCTGAAAGAAATAAGGAGGGGGAGGAAACATCCGCTAATCCGAAAGGGGATTTCGTCCCAATGGGGATTAGATCTCCATGCAAGTTGGAGGGGTAGTATTACCGTATGATACAGGATATATTACTCTGCTGTGGGACCTTTGCGTAACCCTGTGTGCATAGGATGCATAGGATCTAGGTGTTTCGGGCGGATTTGGTAGTTTGTGTCATTTACTGTTACTGTCAGGTTTCATCCAATACCAATATCCCATGATCTCCGTGATCGGTCCTGTGGATGATCACGCCATTGAGACACCGATAAGGTCTCGCTGTAAATGTCAAATTGTTGACTATTGGCTTCTTTTTTGGTTTTCAGTAAGGGTCATGTATGCTGTACGGAGGAAATATAAATTACTTGATGAGCGGTCAAGCCTACAGCTAACAGTAGAGGTATAAAAAAAATGCATGGCTTTATGACACGTTGGCAATTGACTCCCCCCGCATAAAACGAAAGCTCATATATTAATACATATTTATAAACGGAGTATGAAGTACTCCGTACATCTTCAGAGCTCAAACTATTCCCCACTTACAGAATCGATAGCTTCACCATTTTCTGCTCAATTCTTCATGATTCTTTCAATACTGAAAATAAGAATGACTCAGAAGATCCCAAGTAATCCCGGTGTCGGGATCCATTCAAGCAATTGACCGCCCCACGTGACATCATGTCGTGATGGGAAAAAAAGAAAAGTTAATCGAATATTTTGATTTCCGAGAAAGAAAAAAAGCCATTGTTGTCAAGTGGCAAGTCTTTCAGGTAGAAAAAAAAACAGCCATGACCTGCTCTGACGCTATTGCCCTCGATATAGAGAACTCCACGGAAGACTTCCGAAACAGCCAACATCATCAGAACTCCGACGAGATTTCTGTGACTAATGAAGATGATCGCGACCTCTTAAAGCTTGGCTACCGGTCTATCCTGGCCAGAGGCTGGGGCTCCTTCGACAATTTCGCCTGCTCTTTCTCAGCTTTGAACTGTGTTGGGGGAATCCGTGTGCTTTTCTATATCGCCCTCAGTGGAGGCGGACCGGCTGCCATGTATGTTCTACATTTCCCGCCTGCACTTCCCACATGTTTGCATTGATCACTTTACTAATAACTCCCTCAGCTGGAGCTCCTGGGTCTCCGGTAGCATACTGTCCGTCATCACAGCCGCCTGTCTCGCTGAAGCTTGTTCAAGCTACCCCGCCGCGGGGTCGATTTACTACTGGGCATTCCGATCTTGGGGCGGTGGTAAACTGGGCCGCTTCATCTCCTTCCTAGTTGCCGCATGGACATTGGTGGCCTGGACCGCCTTCCTCGCGAGTGATTCGTTCGGTGTTGCCAACTACCTGATTTCGGAGATCGTCGTGTTTGACCCAAAGACAAGCTTTCCATATGAAACGGCTGACGTCCGAGCGCGTGCCGTGGCATGGGCCATCTCGCTTCTTTTCCTGGCCATTGCTACCACACTTAATTTCCTACCTCCGCGAATGTACTCCTGGGTATTCAGAGCGGGTGTGACAGTCATCATCATCGATATGCTACTCAACTTCATCTGGCTGCCCATCGGCGTGTCTAACACGTACGGCTTTCAGTCCGCCGAATATGTGTTTACGTCTACATACAATGGTGGGGACACCAGTCCCGGACTGAACTGGGTTTTATCCTGGTATCTGGTCGGTAGTTGTCTCGTGGGTCAGGATGCTTCGGGCCATGTCGCCGAAGAGACGGTTTCGGCCAAAAAAGGCCGCCGCGAAGGGTATATTCTGGGCAACCGTTGCGTCTGCGTTGTGTGGATTCCCGATCATCATCTTATTTCTTTTCTGTATGCCTCCAATTGAGACATTCTACGACACTAGCGTACCCCAGCCGTTCATCAACATGTACGCGATGGCCCTCGGTCCTCATGCGCACGTTGTGATGACCATTGTCGCGATGGTCGGAGCAATTCTCAACACTTCGATTTCATTGGTTGCTGTATCACGACTTGTGTTCGCCGTGGCACGCGACGGTGTGTTTCCGTTCAGCGATGTGCTGTCGCGTGTGTCGAAGTCGAAGCAGCCCCACAACGCTGTCATCCTCATCTCCGGTATTGCTGCACTTCTCCTCTGCACTCAGCTCCCGTCGCAAGTGGCCTTCTCCAGCTTAATCTCTACCTCGGCTGCAGGTTCCCTCGCAGCATATGGATTGGTTGGAATCGGCCGCTCGTTCATTACACGTAAGTCGTTCCGTCCAGGCTTTTGGGATTTGGGCCGGTTTGGCATAGTCGCCGCCGTTGTTACATTCTTGTGGAACGGGTTTGCTTTTGCTGTTCTGTGCGCCCCGGCCTACTCGGACAGCGCAATTGACGAGGATTCAACTTTGTTCAACTACGCGATTGTGATCATGGGCGGTGTGACTATCATCGCGATTGTCGAGTGGTGGCGCAAGTCCAATGGCGATTGGTTTGGGCATCTTAAAATCGTTGACTCGGAGACCGAGATAAAGTACTCTATTGGATCTGAGGAGAGAAAGAATGCTTCGGTGGATACGACTACTCTTTGAAAGAGTGAAGATTATGCGGCCGCGTCTCTCTTTTTGGGGGTCCTTGGGACTACAAGAAGAGGACCGGTAAAGGCGGAAATCTCGGATCTATGTAGGGATGGTTTTGGTAAGTGTGTTTTCTGCAGCACGCATGACGGGTGTTCGAGGTCTTGCGCTTTTGGTCTTCCAAAAGCGCGAGTCTTGTTCTGAGAAATTACCGTTAGAACTTGATCTGGACAATACCAGCGAAAGGACATGCATGCTTCATCCTCTTCTCTCCCTGCTTGGTGTCGTGCCTTGAAGATCTGATCTCAAGGCAGATGCTGCTAACTGCCTCTCTGGGGTATAGATCCGCGGTTTGCTATTGACAGGCTTGCTCCCAGACCATTCCTATGTTGAGCCGGGCTGAGGTCCTGCGGCTCGCTAGGCATACGTGCAGTGATGTTTGTGATGGACCGTTCATCTCATCGCTCACTTATATCTCTCTCCGAAGCACGAGCAGAGATTGAACTTCACCACATAAGCCTCAGTCGCAAGGGGTCTGGGTGTTTGAGTCCAGCTCATGGGCATCTTACTGTGTCCAGGACTTCCTCGATTGATGATCAGATGTGGTCTGGGGTCTTGTGGGCCTGGTCAGCAAACCGCTTGTAGGCTAGTAGATTGATCAGGAACGTAGCGTATTTTTGATGTAGCATTGGTATATTCTCAAGCCAAAAGAAGGCCTACGTCTAGTGGGTATCCAGGGCGGCCGAGATCAGCCTTTTGTATCCTCGCACCGCCTCTTCAAGCTCTCCCACGGTGATCGCCTCGTCATCGCCATGGGCCACATGGATACTCCCTGGGCCGTAAAGATACCGCTTCACTTTTGGACCTCCTTGAGTATTGATCTTTAATGAAGGAATGTCAGTCCCGTAGTTGACAGTAGTTACGTCAAACCCGTCGACGTCAACATCAAGATGTTGCGGTGGAGCGCCGTTCTCAGTATTCCCGAAGTCAAGATAGACGCTTCCATCACCACCTTTCACCTCTTCAACCGCCTTCCTCACAATTTCCCTCGTTTCATCTGGACTCCCAGCCGCCAGACGAACGGAAACTGTCGCCTCGGCATATGCAGGAATGACATTGGCAGCTAAGCCAGCGCGCACAACCCCAATATTCAAAGTCGATTGACCAAACTTCTCACTACGGAGAAGTCCACCTTTCTCTGGCGGGATGTCTTGCAGGGAATCAAGGTAGGACAAAACAGGAAGAAGCGAAGAGATCGCGCTTTTCCCGAGCCATGGGTATCCCGAATGCGCGGGCTTTCCATTCGCGACAATCTTGAACCCAAGAGTACCTTTATGCCCGGCGACAAGCTTAAGCTCTGTTGGCTCCCCGAATATGACTGTGTGGAAGGTAGGTGGTACTGGGTTGAGATCGGAGTTTGAGAAATGTTTCATTCCAACGCCACTTTTCTCCTCGCCAACATCAAACAACAGCCCGATCGAGGCGTCAGGGTTGCCTTCCAGTGTTTCCAGTGCAGCAAATAGAATGGCTGCGACACTGGCTTTTGCATCCACAGTTCCGCGGCCAGCGATAACGAGGTCTGACCGATTGAATGTCCAATTCTCCGTGTTATTCAAGGCTGGTGGATGAAGCGAGTAAGGAATGAATGGCGGGACAGTATCGATGTGACTGGTTAGAAGAACCGAGGGAAATCTATTTTCCCCAGTGTAGGCATAGATGTTGAATCTTTCTTGTTCAGTGTCACTCTCCGGGGTGATTATTTGTTTCTCGACCGTTAGGTTATGTGAACGAATGAAGTCCAAGAGAAAGTTTCCCACGCTTCGCTCATGTTCACTAATTGATGGAATTTGCACGATATCTCTGTGGAATGACAAGAAAGGAGATTCATCGATAATCTTGCTCAATTCCTCGCTTGGGGATTTCACGTTCTCGTGGACCACCTTTCCACCTAGGAGTTGTTGGCTTTCTGACGCCAGCGTCACTCTCGCCAGAAATGCGACAGCGGAAAAGTAATTTGCCCTCATCTTCCTTGGATTATCAAAGGGCGACAAAGGGGACTGGGGAGGTATTTTGTTGACTCCTGGGAAGAGATGAAGTGAAATGGGGGCCGATGAGGGATTATCTCCCCGCAATGGCGTATACTCGTAGCTCTCTGGACTATATGGCACTCGATTCTTTTCAACTACCTTTGTTTAATGAATTGGCAAGATGCAGCATCTTTGATCGGCAAATTCATTTTGTAAAGTTTGCTTCCCAGCCATGAATTTGCCGAGCATGGCGTAATTATCGCGTGCTCTGTCGACCTTGAAGCGTTATCCGAATTTGAGTGTGTGCTGTGTAGAAGCAGACGGATGTAATTGATATTGTCAAATGACAAACGTCACTATCCATTGCTGATAGTCTATTATCAGATGCTAGGGAACTCATCTGGACGTTTCCTCATGGGAGATTGTTCACAGATTGCCCAAGTTTTTGGATTATATGATGGACTGCAGGCCAAATCCTCCTTTGTAAATCGAGGTGTATCTTCAGCTCACGTCAGGTGAGGCTTTCATCCCAATTCAGATTGGCAAATGCATCCAACAACTCAGTATGATACGCTAGGTAAACCCTTGCAGGCACGCCATGGCAAGTGTTCCTTGCTCATCTTGCGTGATTCATACAGGAGATAACTGCTGGTGCTTTTGAGAACGCGAGGTGCAAGAAATGTTGGAAGTCCATATAATGGACTGATTATCCCTTTTAGGTCATCTCAATTGTTAGAGAAGTACCTTTCTTGCCTGCGCCGGGTACAAAGGACACTGATCGGTAACCACTATGTCTTCGGAGATAGCAGAAAAGGGCCAAGTTGGGACTATTGATATCTCTCCCGTCCGAACACCAATACCGGCGAAAGAAACTGTACACTATGTCAACCGCAATGGTGACGATACTCCGCAGTCTTTTGAAGAAGATCTCATCCCCGGTTATGATGCTACCCTGATGCGAGCACGTGCGACGCTCAGTAGCGCAGAGGAAAAGAAGCTTTTGCGACGCATTGATTGGCATCTAATTCCACTATTGGCGGTCATGTACATGTTGAAAAGCGTGGATTTCAGCAATGTAAGATTCTCCTGGAGCGTGCTGGTGGAAGATTACTGATCGCAATATTTTAGGTCTCCTATGCCCGCATTATGGACAAAGGCACACCCCAGAACATCATGACCGAATTGAAAATGACTTCCGACCAGTATAATCTGGTTACGACTATGTATTATGTGAGATGAGTCGAGCCAAAAGGGTTACTTGTACTGACTCATTCCCTGCAGGTCCCTTACATTATTGCAGAAGCCCCATCCAACCTTTTGTTGAAGGGTGTACGACCCTCAATTTGGCAAGCTCGGATTATGGTAGATGAAGCTATTCTACCTCTGACTGCGTTGGCACTGACAATGATAGGTATCTTGGGGTGTTGTTCTCTGTTGTCATGCAGCCGTGACAAACAGACAGGGTCTATATGTCGTTCGATTCTTCCTCGGACTATTTGAGGCCGGCCTGTGGCCAGGAATGCTCTTACAGCTATGCTATTGGTATAGACCAGACGAAGTTGCTCCAAGGATAGTTCTTGTGACTATACTAGGGAACTTTAGTACTGTGATCAGTGGTGTCCTTGCATTTGCGTTCAATGGTGTCATTGCTGGTGGTCTATCTGGATGGAAATGGTATTTCGATTTGATCCCAAAAAAATGAAGCATACGCTAATGTTGCCTCTTAGGCTTATTTTGACGGAAGGAATCTTCACGGTCTTACTGGGAATCTTTACATATTTCTTCTTACCTGATTGTAGGTCAACCTGCTTTCAAATGCCAGGCATAACTGATTATTCCGCAGTCCCTTCAACTGCATCCTGGTTATCTGAAAAGGAGAAAGCCTTCACCCAAGCTCGCCTACCTAGTAACTCGCCTCGAGCGGCGGAGGCTAACTTCAATTTGCGCGAACTTATCACAACATTGAAGAACAAGCGAATCTGGCTTTTCCTCTTCTGTTGGGCATTCTTTACTATTGGTACGACGGGACTTTCGTTCTACCAACCAACTGTCATTTCTAATCTTGGATTTACGTGAGTGACACCCACTTGAAGGGTAGAGTGCAGTTGCTGACAAGTCTCAAAGATCTATGGGTGAAGCCCAGCTACTAAATATTCCGTCTGCGGTCTTTGCGGTAATATTGACTGTGGCATTCGGTATCTTCGCAGATACCGGACGTATTCCCCAACCGGCCATCCCACTTGGATTCATGGTTGTTATTCTAGCGTGCTATGGCGTGCTGTATGCCTTCCCAAACAACGGTGGTGTATACGCTGCGACGATTGTAGCAGGAGGTTTCTCGACTGCATGGTGAGTACACTCTTGCCAAGGTATCCTATATTGCTTCAATACATCATGCTAAGACAAACCAGGTATACAATGATGTGGCCGTGGCGAGTCCAGACCACTGAGGGAGCAACGGGATCTGCTTTTGCAATCGCATTTGCGAATAGTTACGGCCAGATTGGAGGGGCCGTAGGATCTCAATTATTCAATTCTAGGTTTGCCCCAAGATATACAACCTCCTTTGGAATTGCGATGGGATTTGTTGGTATGGCTATCATTATGAACCTCATTACTTGGGCTTTTACTTGGCGTGTTGATGTTGATACAAGAAAGCTCAAGAGAATTCGGGTTGCGGCAGCAAAGGAGAATCAGGCTGTGTTGGATGATGTTGATATTCATGCAGGAGAGAAAAAGGACAGGTAAATGGGGCTTGAGTGAATAGATGCCGGGAAAATGGGATGTTGATGCAATTGATCTCTGATATGGAGGATCCGATCAATTGAATTAGTCTAGTAATCTTGTAATAGGACTTGCCTATTGAGTAGTCATCAAAGCAATTTTTACCAGAGTAAACGGCCGCTTATGCGGCCTTAGACCTCCACAGGGTCCATTAAGGCCAAAGCCCAGCCCTACCCAACCCGCAAATGGTTTGAGTTTTAGGCC